CGGCACACTGACTGACTGTACAGTTGCATTCGCTGGATTACTTCAGCCGCGGGTACTTTCTCTTTGTATGAATCATCCGGGTAAAGACAAATAGCGTGACCTATAAAAATCTGTATTGAAGAGACCCGGCAATTTGATGATTAGTTGTTAATTTGGAGAAAACCGCTTAGTACTATCTGAATATGTGAAATAATGACCAAAATTGTAAAGCGGATGTAGACCATTACCAAATTCCACTGGAAGTTTCATAACTCAATTGTATCAGTGCTCAAATAGGAATTTTTTCTTTGAACTGGAGGTGCCATGGAAAGGTTAGGAAGCCTTAGGCCGCGGTCAATGTTAAAAATGAAGAATTAAATAAACAATCGATGACAGTACTAAAATATATAATATATATATATAATGACGAGTATCTCTGCGGGGAGGACGTGCTCCTTGATGTATACAAACTCAGAAACCTGTCTGTTCCATATTACCCTAATTTGAAATTCGTGATTATTTGCATCCTTCCACACCGGTTATACTGTCCCTCCTCCGATATTTATCCCTGGCTTAAAAGAAAAAGATTTCGCCTTGTTTTCCTTTTTTTATTACACACCTAAGTATGATGAACAGCAGACGGGACGAACCCCATAGTCACGAGGACGCACTGTTCAGTGGTGGAAACCAGCAACCTAAGTCCCGGTACTCGGAATGGCGAACCACATAATGCCCCGCTAGGATAGATGTGGTATTGAACCGGACGACAGCAGAGCTGCTTACCACCATAGATCTCAAAAACTTTTGTCTGAATACAGTGGAATCGATGACCTTGTTTCGGAAGAGCTTTCATGTCCAAGTAATCCAATGCTTTTGATATGTTTAATTACAGGATAACACGTGACCAAGACCACCGTTTGCATCCGGAAAATCGTAAGCCATATCAATTCCCCGAGCTCAATCTAAAAAATCAACTCCTTGCGCGTACTCACACATACAGAAAGATTGTAATTCCATAATTTGCTCGGTTATTGATTGATCCTAAGATATTCTCCCCAAATTCAGGGAAAGACTCTTGCGTTTGCTCGTTTCCTTTCCAGTATCGAAGTTATTTTCCGCTACTTTTTGCTGACCGAAATTTCTTTCGTATCCACTTTACATATTTGTAAACTGCTTAAAATTCACCCTTTGGATGCATAAAGCGTTTCGTGAGTGCTTGACTTCAGTTGTTGGACGGTCTGAAAAGATTATTGGGAGAAGTAAGCCGTTGTTTCTTTTGTGGGGTGGGAAGTTCATTGAAAAACTCGCCCTCACAAATAACAATAAGTAAACGTTGTTAGCTAGTACACGTACTGCATACGCCCGGCTGTCGTCCAACGCACTACGCTTCGTTTACAGTTGTCCCTACAAGGTAGATGAAATCCCGTTGGGGTTAAATGATGGAGACGATATATGAAATGTTCAGGAACATAAGGTGGAGTAAGTGGAACTCGTCTTTCCGCCTGGGTGCAACGAATTTGTCACGGATCAATTTGAAACACCGTAAAACATGGTGGCGAACCAACAGCAGCAGCTAGAATGCTTAAAAGGATGTGTAAAGTTAGACTGCGTGCTGTGCGCGTTCATCACACAAGTTCATTTTTTTTTCTCTCCCGTCAGAACGAACACAGTCCCTAGCAATCTGGTATGTACTCTAGAGTGCTTTTTGAGCTTGGCAGCGGCCAGAGAAATCTACCTCACAGTTTTTGGTTAAATAATGCTGACGGCAAATCAGATGTGCATAGAAAATGAATAGATGCACCAGCATCATTGTTTACGACACTGTCGTACCGTCAAATGTCTTTAAGTATATCTTAGAATGATCACGAAATATCCAAACAGGAAACAATGAGACTTATATTATTAAGTTCTTAGGACATGCTTTCATACATCTATATCAGGATACGGTTTGGTCGCTCTTAACCTTATTGCGACTACTGACACTCAGTATTCATTGCCTATGGAAGAAACCTATTCAGCTAAATGTGCAACTCATTTCCCAGCAGTCACAATCTGCGAAAGTTAAATACTTTCGTTAGAGCGCGACCGTGATTAACAAATACGCGTCGCTTACTTTAGCACGCTACATATATACGCACTCCGAAAAACCAACCTCATTTAACCGTTGAGGACCTGTCTTGCAATTTACCTAAATTTGTTTCAGTTAGCTGAAATTTTTGAATTGCACTTAGGTCGGTGCAGCAACTGACGTTTAGGCCGCTAGTTCAAAAAAGGTGTGTCAACCTCTTGAAAAAGAACGGTGATACGGTATTAGGTTTATGATGGAGCATTCTTCGTCTAAATATCGTAGATAATTCGACTTCATGGGTGATGGCAGGTAAAGAAGAAATTGTATTGACTTGGAAGTCATCAATTTAAGTCCTACAAGCGTCATGCAACTTCATCCCTTTGTGTATGTCGCCAGAAATCACCTGATAGACCGAAGCTACTCCTCCTCTATGGAAAGTTAATGGTATCATAACTATAGATTAAAGGGAACTGACAGATTTGCTTTTGAAGATGACCGATCAAGCACGGCGTCCCGAAGCTATATCAGCGGAGATTTCAATCCAGCCGAGATTTCGGCCCCGGATACCACATACGCTTCGTGTCAACCTCGAGCAAAGAAATGTGGATCTTCAGTTCAAAACTGCGGCGATATTCATGAAAAACACTGGAAATGATACGAAATACTATCCATAGTAGCATCCTTATTACCTGAAGATGAGTCCTTGCACAGGAAAGTTTCACTTGTAGGGTAAGAGCGATGACGACGGTCTCATTTAGTGGTAGCCCGGATGCTTATAATTCTTAATGTAATTACGGGAAACAAAGATGCAACGAGATAGATGGCCGAGCGAAAATCCATCATGCCTTCGATCAACACCCACAACTTCTTTCACTGTTATACATACTCCAGTATTTGCGGATTTCTGTGTACTTCATGCCCAGCCCATCTTCGAGATACCATTATTCTTTCCGTCTCAACCGTGACTTGGCCTCTAGGAACAACGTACGGATAGGTAATCTCACGTGCAACGGTGCTCGAATATACAAATGGCGTGGAGTCCCGTTCCTGTTCTGAACATGAGTCGAAAACATTATTGATATATTGTCGCGAAAGGCAAATATCGAAATGTTAATATAATAGGAATTTCAATCGAGAAAACAGGGTATAAAAGCCGCAAAACAAGGTAATACAACTCTTCAGGCTTTGTATCACTATAATGTGCCGTAAACAGGTCTTCATATCAATATACAAGCACTGTTCCTTCGCATGACCGCGGCCCCCTTCCTGAAACTTGACCGAACATTTGTGTATTCAATGAGCAAGGAAGTAAGAAGACATCTACAATTATATACCACAGAAGCGGTTGCTTGACAGGAGGAGTTGGTATTCTATTGCAAGTGTAGACGAAAACTGGTTCGAGGGTGTTGAATGTTCGTTTGATGGACGAGTTTAAGCGGTGATCTAACAAATTACTTACATCATCTGGGAACGGTAGTTATAGGACAGCCGTACACTCCGACATGGATATCGATTGCTCTACCTTCGGATAAGCAACGCCATACTTTTTCACGAACTCGGGTAAACATTGTCCTGAAGAGTGCTATTCAGTTTTAGCATTTCATCCGTGATGTTATCAAAGGGCACAAACGTTTCTCACACGGTCATAAAGTGTCCTCGCTATATCTCGTTTGTAACGGATGGTGAAAAAGCTGGTGAAATGCAGATATTGATCCATCCACGTGTGTTTTCGATGAACGGACCGACCAAGGCTTCCAGTGACCCTTCGTTGCATTTTTACATTCAGGAAGGACAAGGTACCATTTTCTTCATGTTCCATTGTCAACTTTAAATTCAAGCTTTGGAATAAGCCCAACGCCTCCGCCCGCTATGAGCAACACATCATCCACGTTTCGTTTTTACAAAACATTTCTGGTGAGGTTAACGCTGATTTTCCGCTCCAGACTTGCCATAAAAATCTGCCGACATGGGAACCAAGGAGCCTCCCATAGCTACACCGTCGACTTGTATCTTCCCTGAAAATTGGAGCAGCTGCTCTCTGTGCACAACAGAATTAACCTTATCAATTCTGATAAAGGTATTGGAAGTCTTATGTTCTTCTGTTTTGAGAAGTCACAAATATATCTCAATTCCTTTCAGAGGCACGTGGGTAAACAACGACGCCACATCCATGCTAGCCAAAACTGGAAGCTTTCCGTCAGATTGTGAACACAGTTCGTCGGTAATCTGTTTCATTATTTTCACAAACCATTTCGCTAGTTGATGTTGGGGTGAATGTCATGGACAAAATAGGTCTCAATGAGGCCTGGAGTGTCTGGAGAAAGTACAACAAATGGCAACCAGAATGGTTGCCGGAAAGGTGGAAAAGAGATGCCCACAGCGTATGCAGGACTCAAATCTATTCTGGTTGTCACAGAAGAAGCATGGGTGACCTGATAGATCGTAAGAGTCTATCCGGTCTGGGGCCAAACAGCCACTACGTCCATGCTCTAGTGTGGCACTAACGGTCGTAGGCTTGAACTACAAAGAGAGAACTCCAGACTAAAAAAGAGGGTCACGTTCTTTATAAACCGAATGGTGCCTTTATGGAGTAGGCTACGGGTGAATGTGCAGTAACGTTGACTGTAGGAAGGAAAGGAGAATCCACGAGGACATTTTCTATTCACGATTTCTTAAAAATCAACTTTAACTCTCGTGTTTTACTGAACTAGTGTTTTACCGAGCACGGTTTTCCATTCAGTTGTATATAAAAGCTGGGTCTTGTTCCAACCCACGTAACACTTGACACGCTTTCGATTTTCTGCTGCATATATTTGTTTATATTGCTTAGTCGTCACGCAGGCACGTACTCCGTACTTCCCAGAACCACACTTAGCCAATAAACATCGAAGACAACCACAAGTGTTTGTATCTATCTGGGGTCACGAAACATTTTAAAAAATGCGTGTGCACTTTGAGATCCATAAGAAATCTTGTCGACATTCCGTTACGTGGAACAGCTTCAACCCTATAAATTGGTAAACTGCAATGCGGCCTTTGCCCTTAGAATAGCATAAGTGTTGAGCAGAACCCAGCCTCAAGGAATGTGCTACTGCAGCAGGATATGGTACCTTACAGAAAATGTGTTGCAAGCCAAAGAAAGTTATTTGATGAACACAGGCAACAAGTCATGTGAAGACTGGACTGAATATCTGTTATAGCACAACTATGATTATCAGTATGACATGCAAACATCATATTCATGAAGACCTACTGATCAGTTAGTTAAACGAGTGAGCCGCAACCGTTCCTTGTAGGATTGGCATGGTATTGAGCGAAACGACAGCACCGCTTTTCTGCTTTAATTGGTTGAGGATCAGTTCAGTTCAGTTCTTACAACTATTAACCAGGCACTTTCGTGCGCCGGTTTTGGTTGCCCCTTTGGATAAAACAGCAGAATCAAGATTGGAATGTTGAAAGCAGATTCAAGTGGAAGATAGGGAATTCATATAGACTGAGGTTACAAGAATAATGATTACATGCATGAGCGCTACTGTTTGTGACACCCAGCCATATCAGTGTCTGACCATCCGTGACCATGGTCTCGGGGTCCCCAGTCAGGGAGCTTAACGGGACCTATATGAGCCAGTCTCTTGGTCAGGGTTTCCATACCCTTATGCTAGGTCTTAGTCTGACCGCCCTTGATCTTTTTTTTTAACCGCTGCCTGCCTCGAAAAACATCGCTTGCCGTCGCAGCCTATCTGGTGAAATGCCTAGCACATGTTCCAATCAGTGTAATCTATGAAGTTTGATCACATGCTCCATTGGACTACCGCGACTGCCTAAAACTCCATGTCTAACCTCAGTATTGCTCGTCGGGTTTCCCCACCAGACTCGTGCAATGTGACGTAGACAGCGGTATTCGAACAGTGACCATCTGTCTTTATATTGTTTCCGTAATGGACAAGTCCCTGTACTGCGGAGTAGCACTGGCCGGAGTGCTGCAGCATATACCCGACCCTTCACAGACAGCTGGAGGTCACGACAGCACCACAGATGACCCAAGTTGACAAATGCCAGCCGAGGCCTTTGTATGCGCGCCGACACTTCGCCTGTGATGCGTCCGCCAGGTGAGATATAACTGCCCAGATAGCGAAACTTGTCTACTTCCACAACTACTTCCGGATGCATGTTACTGAAAGCAACTGTGCTGCAGGATAGAAACATTGAAGGTCACCTAGCCACTGTACTCAAATACACGCAGACGAGCAATTATCTCCAGCCGACGAGATCCTCTAGCACCACTTCCCCATTATGACCTGGGCCGTCGCTGGTGATCGACGCACTTCGCTAGTCACAATTGGTGATTCCAAACCCAAGCAAATATTGACTTTAGTTGCACCAGCGATCAACAGAGGAATTATCCGAAATAAAAACCGAATCACTCACCTGAGTATCTTCGCCTATCTCAAAATGCTTGAAAGCGTGCATGATAGAATCTTTCGAAATGTCTTTTGGGGAAGCGTAAACGTCATTCCATGTTGAGGGTACTTCGGGTTTTACGTTCATAACCCATACGAGCAACTTTCGGAAACGCCGTTTCTCAAAAAGACTCATTAGGTCTGGCCATTAAAGCAAAGATCATAAACCTACTGGATGACAATGCCTCCGCCTCGTCACAAGGAACTTTGTGTATACCTCCATTTTGATACACATAGCTCCCTTCGATTTGCTTGAATTCCAAATATCTTAGGACGCCAGTGTGAATTAGTAAAGCGACAAGGTTTCCTGGTTAACCGTATGGTTTACATTTAAAACAAATTGGTTCATAGCGTACCGTTAGACATAAGAAACTTTGGAATGAGATCAACATTCCATTCTTTGCCGACTCCGAAACGTTCGATATCACCAGCAACATTGAAGTAGGAGAAAAGTTGTTTCAATGGCGTAATGGAGGTGCTTTTTCCTCCATAATAGTCATTTTTATCCATATGCAGTACCTTTTTACCTTCGATTGACATCAAACCGCTTAGGATGCATTCCTAAATTGGTTAATTATTTCTGCGCATGTTGTTTACTTTCAATCCAGTACCAAGGACCACGACGTCGTAATCCTCATCCATTGTTTTCGATGTGTCGTCTGTAACTGAAACGGCGCACTTCAGATGAGATTACATTGATTGTAACAAACAAGTCTTGAAGTAGTCTTGAAGTTTTTCATGGGTTCGAGGCTGTTGCTCAAATGTCCCGGGTCCTTGAAAGGTCTCTGTGTTTTATTTTCGTTCGAATTTCGTCTAGAACAGAGAGTACTGAAAAGGCATTAGTTAGGTTCCCTTCTCGAGGCGAGAAATAAAATGAAGACTTACGAACTCTCATACAATTCAAAATGATTTTTTCTTTCTTTTATTGGGGGAGAGTAAATAAACCTAAGTGGCGGTCAAGACGAAGTTTAAAGACCGCCTTGCTGGGGGCACTGACAATCTCTTCTGGAGGGTCATTCCATAAGGATATCACCCTGAAGGTAAAAAAATGAGGTACGTAGAGTGGTTCTC